ATATATAAATAGAAAATTATCAGGCGGAGAAAGGTATATAAGAAAATGTTGCCCATTATTTTCCTATTTTATATATATATATATATAACAACGATATATATATATAGTATATATATCGTTCTCCGCATCCGAAGCTGTTACTACACAGATTGACTGGATAAAAATTTAAAATCTCTATATAACATATCTATAGCACATAATTTACAGCTAGATCCGAAGAAATCTCAAGTCATGATTGTATGCAATAAAAATGATAGTCTTAATCTGCATGGCAGATTTTCAGTTATTATAAATGATGTAGTTTGCCAATAACCATTGAAAACAAAAATCTTGGCATATGACATGTTAATCACTTGTGTCAGGCCTCCTATATCGTGTTATGACAATTTTATCCCAGCAGAAGTATTTCATCAAAATTCATGAAGGTTAAACTATGTGAAGCTTTGATTTTGTCTAAACTGGCTTACAGTGACTGCATATATGGACCTGCTCTTTTGCAAACAGATATTTTACGCATTCAGCGAATTCAAAATTCTTGCATCAGGTTTGCATATGGTATCCGAAAGTATGACCACATCAGTGAAAGCTTTATGGATTCTGGTTGGCTTACTATGATTAACATAAGAAAACTTCATTATCTCACATCAGTACACAATATCGTTACTAGTACCTGTAGAACACCTACTTATTTATACAATAAACTTACCAGACAGTCTTATAATAAAGTGACTCGCAATAAACATCTTTTGGCGATGTTCTCGTATGTTCTAATTTGTATTATATATTATGTTTTTTTATATTTGTATTTTGTATGAGTGTTATTTTTTGTGGGTTTAGTTGAAAAGCTCAAGCTGAACTACGCCTTTCGTCATTTTATCATTGATTTTTTTCCTCAAGTTATTTATAATGATGAATAAAGACCATTTATTACTATTATCATTATTATTATTACATAATGTCACAAAAAACCAAAGCAATGACAAAAAAAGGTCGACATAATATCACTTTTCAATGTACGTATTACCCGTGCCGGATATATGTGATTGGTAACGCACTGAACGAATACGTTATCACCATTTCACTCCTGCGCGTTACAGGATACACGTGTCTGGTAATTAATTTTTTAATAGAGCCAAAGAGGGAGTCCATATTGGCGAGCAAAGGTTATCTCATTATACCGCATTACGAAAAGGATTTAAATTGTGAAGAAAACCACTTTTGAAGTGATATTTGGTGCAGCAATTGTTAACACATGCAATGAAATTAAAACAAATGTACCATGACTGTATTTCGATTCAGAGAAAAATTGGCATTCACATTGACAGGAGATAACCAAAAGGCAATGGATACCCTTGCCCTGAAAAGAGTACATGTTTTTCCTGCAGAAAAAGTCCCTGGGAAAAGCGTAGTCAAAACTGCGAAGGTGATACGAAAGTGATAAGAACAACTTTGCCGAATAGGAAAAGGCGACAAAAGTTATCACGTCTTATTTTAAGGAATACATTCAAGCTTAAATAAAACGTAAAATAACTCATAATTATATGATTCCTTTCTACATACCAATGAATAAAGCGCAACTTTTGCCTTTGGTATTTCATTAACCTTTTCTCCAATCTACTATATAGTATAAGCGTCCGTTCAACAAAGATATCTATAAGTTTCAGTTTTAAGACGCCTTAAGAAATTACAGCCCATTTTGTTGGAGGATGCTTACAAGATATACGTGACTGGTACGCAACAGCGGGCATGGTCGGTAATAGACACATACTCGCACGCCTTGTAAAGTCATTTAGGACATGTGAAAATATGAAGGTGCTAAGACGGGCGTTGGAAAAACGTGGTCAAGAAGGCACATGAGTTTTGTGCTAAATGTCAGATGTCTCGAATGAGTCATTAGCCGTTCAAATTCGAGAACACCTCCTCATGTCCACTTTACCATTTATGTTTGTTTTTTATCAATCTGAGCAATTCGTGTCTTTTATGACCCATGATGCGGCCCAAGTATTCTAATATGTATATATAGTTCTACTATCAATGTGTATATTATAATAATATATAATAAGAATAAAGGATTTATATGCAGCCATATCTACACAAGCATAATAAAATTGCAGCTAGAGTTTAAGCAGAATAACAGGTACAGCTAAGTACCAAGCATAAAAAAGCGGTCAACCAACTGGACTGAATGAGCTTTCTGTACTCAAATACGAAGGTTGATATTGAAGCATTTTGACATTTGTAGGAGCTTGGTTATACAATCGACCAACGTTATAAGATATAGACCTAGTTAAGATTTATGTGATGACTGTGAAATAAGGCATCTACACCCAACATTAACATTATGAAATCTTTTGCGAAACGTAATTTTATTGTACAAGTACGGCGGTGTTTTTTAGGATACTATTATTTCATGAAACATAACAGCCGAATCTAGTTCTCGTATCGTATGCAGCAGGCAGCTTAAATCTAGGACAGGACTTTTGTATACGGTCGCTGTCGAGTATTCTTAAACAGGGGCCACACACTACATCACAATATTTAAATAAAGATACAACAAATGTACCTATAGCAAGATTTTAAAGTTGGTGTCAAGAATAAGATGGTAGAGATACAGCTATTTGTATCCACGATAACAGTGGCTAATACAGCTATCAATGTGTTTTGTAAATCTTAGGTCATTGTCCAAAGTCAATCTCAAATTTCGAGCATGTTTGTGTGTGGAGTAATCTTATCAATTGAAATTTCAAAAGTATCTTCAATATCATTTTTATGTTTATCAAACAATTGAGATTTCAAAAGTATCTTCAATATCATTTTCATGTTCACCAAATAATAAAACACTACATTTTGTCTAATTTAGACTTAGTAGGTGCAAAGTGCTCTCTTTGGCTGTATTTCATTTTTATTTTTATGGGTGTTACAAGCTAGTCTTCTAATCCTTAACCATCCCGGCACGTTTTGCATAATATCCACTACAGACATCGCCTTGTTGTGGACATCCGTATTTCGACCATAGCTCAGTTCTCATCGGCACAACTGGATAAGCCGATAGTGAGAACGAAAATTTCACTTTGTCTTATGGTGCATTAATGTCATATTATTATTATTATTCTATATTAATAACGCTGACAGTGAACTTAGTTATGCAAAAAATTCATTCATTTCCTATGAACTAGCAGTTACAGAATCTGACCTCAGAACTTAAAAATTTTGGATCAAAGCGACGTAATAATTCATGGAGTGGCGTAGTGGATTTCCGACAGCAATTTAGAAAGAAAGAGAATTTGAGTGTAATCTGTCTTCATCTGCTTCAATGACGGACATTTGGTGGAAATCAAGAATAAATTGCGTCATTCTCGAAAAATTGATGAAGTTTTTACCCATTTTAAGCCTTATGCGATCTTTCCACAGTAACTTTTTACGCCTTGACCGAAGCATAACAAATTGTTTACATTTTGGGGTTCAGCAACCCCGATATTAATTACTCCAACCAAAAAAGAGGTGTCGTATTTATACAGAAAGACAAAGTCCTCAAATCGATGTAGGCGGTAACTGATGATTAATAAAGTTTAATTCCCAAATGAAAGGAAGGATCATAATTAAGATTTTCGGCATGCGTGAGACCTACATTTAATTGAAACTTATAAATTAGGGACAGCCGTTCGGTAGGCTTTAATTAAATTAATTTATCCTTGCAAAGGAATTGAGCAAGACAAAAGCAGACTACGGACTGGACACCAGTACCGGATCTAGGATTTTTTTGAAGACCATGTAATTAACGCCTCTCTTTCACTGAACCTATCATTTTTTTAAGACAAAGCAACTTTCATGGCACATTATCTTACTCAGGTATATTGTAATAGTAGAGAGCCAAGAATTTCGACTTACGAGGAACGTTAAGTCCAAGAATGGTAATTTTCTTGTGCATACGATACATACTGCATTTTAAATAATTGAAGAGGTTGTACAGGGTATCCCAGTTCCATATCCCCCCCACCTACATATTCCGAAAATTGCGCATTCTAGAAAAACAGCTCTGAACAAAAGTTGTAGGGTTTTGAGAGTGCAAAGTGATTGTGACCTTGATTTCGGCATTCAAGATCAGTTCAATTTCAAATGAATATTTTCAAAAAGAACCCTCCTTTTTACACATCGGAATTGGAAAGAGGATGAAATTCTACGCGCATGGCCATAACCAATATGATCTAACAAAAACGTTAGACTGCATAGTGATGAGGTTTATAGCGATCAACTGAAGTTGATCTTGACCATGACTTTTAGGGTCAAGTCAAAATTTCTGAAGCAAATCTCTCATTCTTATATTGGAAATAGAAAATGCAGGAAATCTTACGTTCTTAGAACCTTGACCTGAAAGTCAAGGTCGAGTCAAGCTTAGACGTTATTTGAAGTCAAAGATATATTAGGGCGTAAAATTTGTCTATGCTTAGTATAAAAATGAGACGTTTTCTTACGAAAGTTTGACTTGATCTTGAAGGTAATGGTCATGTTCAATGCCACCTTTGGATGATCCACACAAACCTCACAACTGTGCTGTCAAACGTTTTTGCTGGAGCATATCGTTTTTATTGTCCTGATTTGACCTTGAGATGGTCTGGAAGGCCATAGTCAAAGTCATATGTGTGCACAAATTTCCTCCTTCTTCAATTCCTATAGGAAAAAGGGGGAGTTCTAATTGACCTTGAAATGACTTTTAAGACGGTGGTCAAGGTCGCCGTCATTTTCACTCTCGAAATCCTAGAAGTTTTGTTTAAAACTTTTTTCTAGATTGAGTAATTTTCGAAATATTTAGATGGGGAAATTTGAGTTGGACACTCTATAGAGTCAGGTCCTGTTCAGACGTCTGGATTTGTAGGGAATATTGAACCCTCAATCTATGTTTTCGAATCCTAGCACCGAGCCGCTCAGTCAAATTAGCATCGGATACTAACTTGTTCCAAGGGGCTAAGAGGAAAGAGCGGGGAAAGAGGAATAGGAATTACCTGAAAATTCTCTTTTGCATGCTCTCTGCCTACTTTGACTTGTGTAATTGTTGTTAATCGCTACGCAATAGATTCGAAAGATCTGTGAGGGTTCTTGGAGTGGGTAGAATTCATCTTTTGCCGGGCTTTATTTGACTCTCTCCTCCTCAGTCATCGTTGCTTGTTACGTGGAATTACTGAATGAAGTATGTAGACAGTTCGCCACCTATAGTGTACTGATAACAGATGGAAGTAATGATCATGTTTGAATACATTTTATTGCTAAGAAACATTTCCTAGGAAACACGATTTGAATGCCTTGCACTATATTTTTTGCTGATTAATCTCCAAATGTGTTGCTCATTTTGTGTTTATGGTACCTAAGAAACCTTTTGTATGAATTTAGCTTCCGCACCTAATTAAATTTTACTTTTCCCAAGCATAATGAACTCGTATATCGAAAAGCTATGTGTCATTTCGGTATAAAAATGACTTGAGCAATATCGTTATAACTGTTACTGAATCAGCGCAATATTAAAATCATGGTTACAGAGATGTAAATGAGATAATTATTCGCGAATAAGAGATGAATTGGCTACCAAAAATTACCCAATTCCCAGCTATAAATCCATTTTCTTGCAAGCGCAATCAGTGCAAGAAACTTCCGCATTAATTTCTATCCCATTATGTGGCTCTCGAGATCGAGAAGAAGCTGAAATCCGATTAGGACTCAGCCAAAATGGTAACAAACCAATCTGCTATACTCTAATTGTGTCCTAATAGCACTTGTAAAGGGGTGTAGTTTGCTGCTGCTCGAACAAAGCCGATTTCAGGATGAATAGTGCAATATTATTGGTGATTGCATGTATCGACCTTTCCTGAATAGCCTGCTGGCAATATGGGGAAACAAAAGCCAAGCTGTGCAGGTAGATACACTCACTCTGTGGAAAATGGGTACATCCATAAAATGTTAAAAACCATTCCAACTACATGTATTTACAAGTTTTATCAGTCGATCACGAATTGATGAAGATAAAAGTAGGTAAACTCTGAAAGGGTTTGAGATTCTTTACCCAATATAACGAAATAACTGAACTTGAGCAAACTTTAAAAATTATTAGCAAGCACATAAATTGCCTCGTTACTTCCCGAATTCTCATTCTCATGACTTCGACTGCCTTAGAAGCTTCAAATTATGACTTCTAGAAACATGAAAAATATATTTTTTTAAAATTTAGGCACAACAATGAGACTCGTACGTTCTAGAGCTTACGAGCAATTCCACGGTAATGTGAACCTGATAATCCAAAACTGAAGCTTACGTAGACTTCGATTAAACCATGTCTTCATACGCAACACATCACAGTCTTTGCCCGGGCAGCCCCAAAAATAAAATTCCATATATTGTCTGAGAAAACGCATTCCCCATATAACTGATGAGAATTGTAGCTCATATATTCCTTATAAGTCATCAAGTATCTCTGTATTGTCTTCAAAGGATCTGAAATCTCCTATTTCATAAAGACATTATTATGAAATCAAATGTTTTATAGAACTTTGAATTTCTATGTCAGTCCGCGGCATTAAACATGCATTCAGTATCGTATCTTTGGAGCGAAGTAGATATGATTCTTCTTACTTCAGATACAAATCCTATAAGATACAAAACAGCAGAATAGACGTATCAGAAAGGAGGTCAATGTTATACAGAGTGTAAACGTTTTGATAGTCATTATTTAAATGGGTGACAGAGGGGCTTAAAAGAAGCAAAAAGTTTCATATGACATGGGGGTCAAAACGGCATTTTTTTAGAGAAAAGCGACTTTAAAGTAAAATAAAATCTGACAACGCCGCAACGCCTGACGCAAATTACGACGGAACGCAGTGTAAATAAAGATGGAGTTTGTTATTTTTGGCTCTTAGGTATTATTTCATTATTTGATAATGTACTCGTAAAATGCAAACAATTAAAAAAACGGACTTACCACTAACTGTCTCAGCGCTTCACCTGGTATGTGAAAGTTTATTGAACGTATTAAAAAAATCCACTTATAAATAGGGAACACGACTTTGATACATACATTGTTTTTCTTTTTAAAACCCACACTGCACTTTTTTGTATACTAAGTGACATATAAATCCGAACACCCAGTTTAAATGGTTTTATTTTAATAAAAGTTGGTGAATGTATTTATCTTACTGTAAATAACAAGTGAAAAAATTTTCAGCCTTATCAGTTGGACATTCCGGTTTGTATACTGCTTTTTTTTAATTCACTAACGCTCTAAAAAAGAATATTTTAGCCGCAGTAAAGAATCATCGGATTTTGGTTCTTGACATCCATTACGATCGGTTACGATGCCTAGAGTACGGAGACCTGTACGATTTCGTCAACTTAGTGAGTTTGATAGGGGCCGTATAGTGGGAATTCGGGAAGCTGGACTTTCTTTTCGGGCAATTGCAGTTAGAGTGCAAAGAAGTGTAGACACTGTGGTTAGGTGTTGTCAGGCATGGCTTCGAGAAGGCCGTACGCAAAGAGCAAGGGGCACTGGACGCCGCCGTAGAACAACAGACCGTGAAGATCGCCGCCTAATATTATTGGCCTTAAGGGACCGTTTCTCCACTACCAAGTCCATTGCAAATGAATGGTTTGCAGAACACGGAAGACTTATTGGCATGCGAAGGGTTTACCGACGAATGAGAAGTTTTGGCTTGTTTTCATACCGGCCACACTGGGTCCTCCCTTTAACTCGAGAACACCGACGTAATCGCCTTGAGTGGTGCAGACAACGGTCACTCTGGGATCAGGAATGGAACAGTATTGTCTTTAGTGACGAGTCTCGATTTTGTTTAGGCATGCACGATGGTCGTGCCAGGGTTAGAAGGCGACGTGGTGAAAGGAGGAATCCACAGTTTTTTGTTGAAAGACATGTTCATCACACTGTTGGAGTTATGGTTTGGGGTGCTATAGCTTATGGTTCCAGGTCACCTTTAATCTTCATCAGAGGTAACATGAACGCGCAGCGTTATATCTACGAAGTTCTAGAACCCCATCTTTTACCCTATCTTGACACCCTGGCAGATCCAACTTTCCAACAAGATAATGCCCGACCACATGCTGCAAGAGTCACAATAGACTTCTTTCAACATAATGATGTCACATTGTTACCATGGCCACCAAGATCTCCCGACATATCCCCAATTGAGCACGTGTGGGATATGATTGGTAGGAGATTGCTCAATTTGCAACGTCCTCCTCAGACTCTAGAAGCACTTCGAGAGGAGTTGGTGGTTGCCTGGAATGAGATACCACAGGAGAACATTGACCACCTGATCAGAAGCATGCCTAGGCGCGTTGGAGAATGCGTAGCACATCAGGGTGCATCCACACATTATTAAAGGTCAAAGGGCTTTAAAGCAGTGCAATCATTTTGAAATTTTTATCATTTACTTATTATGCATCATTAAGTACTTATTATACAAAATTTTATTAAAATAAAACCATTTAAACTGGGTGTTCGGATTTACATGTCACTTAGTATATTTAAAGAAGGTGTTCAAAATGTCGTCCTCCACTTTCCACATAAGCTTCATTACGACGAACCCAGTTTCTTCTAACTCTAGGTCCTCGAAGTTGTCCATTTACTATTTCAGCCGCATTAACATTTTTTTCGCGAAGTTGTGCTTCAGTTGTTATTGGACCAGCCCCATAAGCCATCCCTTTAAGTTCTCCCCAATACCAGAATGAGGTCAGGAGATTTTGCTGGCCATTTCCGAGGATCAGAAGCATTTCGGCCGATCCAGCGATTTGGATAATGTTCATTCAAAGACTGAATGACGCCTCTAAAAATGTGTGGTGGTGCCCCGTCATGGAGAAATCACAAATTCTGTCTTCGTTATAATGGCATGTTGTCTAAGGTCTGCTGCAAAAGTTCTGGTAGGTTATTGGCTAGAAAGCTAAGATATCCTTCTCCTGACAACTTTGGGGGTAACTCGAAAGAGCCAGTTACCTGATCGTCAAGAATACCCGCCCAAATATTTATTTTAAAACGTTATTGGAAATGACATCCACGAATGGTATGAGGATTTTCTTGGGCCCACGTGTGAGTATTATGGAAATCTAATATCCCGTCTCGAGTAAAAGTACATTCGTCCGTCGCTAGAATGTTTTTAAAAAAATCCGGATTTTCAATGTCTTGGTACTAAAACCACTGACAGAATGTTAGTCTGCGAGGATAGTCTTCTGGTGACAAGGCCTGCAATCGTTGTACATGGTAGGGATAAAGCAAATTTTCCCGCAGGACTATGGTATGCGATAGTCCTACGCCGCGGCGTAATTCCCGAGTGCTGATATCTGCATTGATTTCCACGATATTTAAAATGTGTTCCTCCTGCTTTACAGTAACATGTCTTTCACGAGTGCGAATATTAGTGGGCTGAACAGTATCTCGAAGTCTTTGGTACACTTGCACAAATGTCCTTCTGTCTGGGGGTACCCGTTGGTGAAATCTGTCGCGTTAAATAAAAAAACACGACGACGTACGCGAACAAAAACAAAACACGCCCGATGCCCGATAACTAACCACTGTTACCGTTTGCGATCGATTGCCGGTTCGATAAGAGTGATCAAAGGACTACGCATTGTTGTCATGTGTGTTTTAAATATTTAATTTAATGAAACTTACTTACTTATTACTACAAATTTTGGCTTAACTTAGAAAAACTTAATACCCAATTTAAAAACGATTTAGATTAGATTATAAAAATTAGTAAGGTTATGGTGATTGTGGTCGATATAAAGCACTTAAAGTTGTAAATTATAAAGCCATTTAGACAAAAATCTATTGACGTTTAGACCATGGGTCATATGAACTTTTTGACTTGTTTTGACCCCCCACCCTATTACCCATTTCAATAACGTTACGCCCTGTATAAAACATAATTTGTTCAAAAAACATAGCTAAAATGGGTGCAGAGCGTCAAGTTACCGGTAGAATTTTACGAGACTCCCAGAAACATAATCCTCCATGCTTATCTGGCCGAATCAGAAACATCTCTAACTTTGATTTGTTTTAAGTACCACCTCCTAACCAAATACAAAATACTAAAAATATATGTGTCCGTTTTCTTTCTGGTATCTTTCAATGATAATACCACAATTCAAATAAAAAATAACTATCACAGGTGCCAGTTTTTGCATCACGGACTAATGTCTCGACATAGAAGTGAGTTCGTG